TTTTTTTTTACCGCAGCATAGTATTCCAAACTCTTTTTATCTTGCAAAACTGAAACTCTATATACCCATCAAACAACAACCCCTCATTTCCCCCTTCTCCAGCCCCGGCTCTGCTTTTTCTGAATTTGACTACCCTAGGCATCTCAGATAAGTGGAAGCATACAGTATTGGTCTTTTTGTGACTGGCTTTTTCCCTTAGCATAATGTTCTCAGGGTTCATCTGCATTATCACATGTGTCAGAATTTCCTTTAAGCTGAATAATATTCCATTGTATGAATATAGCACATTTTGCTTATCCATTGATTTGTTGAGGGAAACTTGGGGTGCATTCTATCTTTTGGCTGTTGTGAATAGTGCTGCTCTGAACATGGGTGTATAAATATCTCTTTGAGCCCCTGCTTTTGATTCTTTTGGGTCTATGCTCAGAGTAGAATTATTGTTTTATGTGGTCATTCCAATTTTATTTCTTTGAGGAATTGCCATACTGTTTCCTATAGCAGCTATATTTTACATTTCAGCCAACTATGCACAGCCAATTTCTCCACCTCTTCGCTAGCACTTTTTATTTTCTGCTTTTTTTGATAGTAGTCAACCTGATGGGTGAGGTCACATCTCATTGTGGTTTTGATTCACATTTCCCTAATGATTAGTGATATTAAGCTTCTTTTCATGTGCTTGCTGGCCATTTGTACTGCCTATTCTTGAATTGAGTTGTTTGTTTTTCTGTTGTTGAGTTACAGAAATCTTCTGTATATTCTGGATATTAACCCCCTTTTGAGATATATGATTTGCACATGTTTTCGCCCATTTTTTACGCAGTTGATTGTGTTTTGTATAGAAGTTTTTAATTTTGATGTAGTCCAAATTATCTATTTTAACTTTTATTATCTCTGCTTTTGGTGTTATAGCCAAGAAATCATTGCCAAATCCAATGTCATGAAGCTTTGCCCTGTGTTTTCTTCTGAGTGCTCTATAGTTTTAGCCCTTATATTTAGGTCTTTGATCCATTTTGAGTTGATATTTGTATACCAGAGGCCTGGTGCACGAAATTCATGCACAGGTAGGGTCCCTTGGCCTGGTCGGCAATCCGGGCTGATCGGGGCCTTCTGGCTGCCAACTGGGGCCTTCCTTCGTTCCACGCCACCCCCTGGTGGTCATAGTGAGCGATTGAACTCCCAGTCTCCCAGTCGAACTCCTGAGGGGACACTTTCCATATTAGCCTTTTATATATATATAGATGGTGTAAGGTAAAATTTCAACACTACTTTTTTGTTTCTGGCTATACAGTTATCTCAAAATTTGTTGAAAAGATTCTCCCTTCTCCATGGGATGGTCTTGGCACCATTGTCAAAAATTATTTGACTCTGTATGTGAGCATTTATTTCATGGCTTTCTGTCTCTTTCGTCCATATGTCTGTCTTTATGCCAGTATCACACTGTTTTGATTAGTAGCTTTATAATAAGTTTTGAAATCAGGAAGTGTGAGACCTCCAACTTTGTTCTTTTTCAAGATTATTTTGGCTATTTGGAGTCCCTTGGGATTCCATCTAAATTTCAGGATGAAATTTTTTGTTTTTTTTGGGGGGGGGGCGGGACTTGGGATTTTGATAGGGATGGCATTAAATCTGTAAATCCACTCTGGGTAGCATTGATCTTTTAACAATATTAAGCCTTTCGATCCACGACCATGGATGCCTTTCCATTTGTTTGTGTCCTCCTCAGTTTCTTTTATCAAATGCTTTTGAAGCTGAAGACACTGAAATCAGTGCTATTTCAACACATTTATAAGCAAAATTTAATCTTTTATAGTTATGGCTAGTTCTTCATTGAGAACACCATTGTAAGGGAACAGAAAAATAATAGATGATATATAGTAGTACCTATAGTTGACTGTTAAAAAATGCATTATCTGAGGTTTTATTTTCTTTCATTCCCTCTCTCCCCCACTAATACAAGTGAAAGTTTATTTAGAAAGTCACAGAGTTAGAAAAAGTGAGCCAGCTGGGCTGTGTGGGCTCAGGAAATAAGTTACAGGGGCTTTTAAAAGAAGGGGCCCTTGGAGCTTAGGAGAGGGAGAGAGGGGGAAAGGTGCTGGAATGCTCCAGAAAGATGGGGGAGGGGGCGCATGAGCTAGAGTGGAAAGGCACAGGTGAGAAAGAGAGTGGGAGACAGCGAGAGAAGGGGAGAGAGGGGGGAGGAGAGAGAGAGAGAGAGAGAGAGAGAGAGAGACAGAGATCTCTCTATTTTCCTTGATTTTGTCAATAGCCCTTAGTAGAATTAATTACATTTGGTTAGTGGTTTTCAGGCTCTGTTCCTAAAAGTAGTTGGGGGTCTAAGCTGGTGACTTTAGAGGCCCAGGGAGCCAAGTGGTCAGGTCTTCAGTGCCCTCATCCCTTCTTCAATCAGAACTCTTTGTCAATATCATGTGTTTCTCACAAGATTTCACTGGGGTCTGCAGAGGGGTGGGGGAAAAGGAGATGTTCTGCAGCTAAAGCCACTGTTGGAGAATATACCTCTGAGGAGGAGGCTGTCCAGATCTGTTGTGTTAGAAGGGGAAGCCAATTTGAGATTATATAAAACGGCTACTCCTGATTACATTTAAAAAAAGAAAAAGAAGGAAAGTAAGTACCAGGTGTGGGGCGGAAATGACTCTGTACCTTTGTTAACCCTTTTGAAGTACTGAGCATAGACGAATGCCATCTGTTTTCCCCACTTTCCCCACCATGTCATTTGGAAACAGCTTCAACCTACAGAGAACTTACGAGTTGTACAATGAAGATCCCTACATCTTTTTCCTGGATTTATTACATTTCATCATTTTGCTGTGTTCTTGATCTCTCTCCATACACATACATGCATTTTTTTTCTGAACCATTTGAAAGTAAATTAAAAATCATCATGGTAATTCAGCCGTAAAAACTTCGCTCATCACCTAAAGACAAGGACGTTTTTCTAAATAAATATACTAATATTACACACTGAATAAATTTAATATTGATTTGTCTTCTAATAAATAGTTCTTTAAAATGTCCTTCATAGGAACCCCTTCCTTCTGGTGTAGGATTCAGTCAAGGATCATGCGTTTTATTGGACCCATTCAGCTCATCTCCTTTCATCTAAACGGTCACTTTTCCTTTTTTGTCTTTATTGACATTGACATTTGTAAAGAGTTCAAGCCAGTTTTTTGTAGAATGTCCTATTTCCTGGATTTTCCTAACATAGATTTGGGTAAAACCTTTTTGTTAAGAATACTACATATGTGGTATTGTATGTTTCCTGTTACGTCATATCTGGAGGCCTGGGCTGTGACAGCTGTTGTCCCGTTACTGATGTTGCTAAATTGGATCATTGCAGGGTTAAGCTGGTATCTAACAGGTTTTTCTTACAGAGTTACCTTTTCTTCTTTGTAAACAAAAAAATCCATCTGGGGATAATTTGAGACTGTGTGTATATTGTTTCCTAAAATCCTTTCACTCATTGGTTGGATGGTTCTTATCTGAATCAATTATTCCATTGGTGGTTGCAAAATGGTGATTTTCTGATTCTCTCATTTCTTCGACATTTATTAACTGATGATAGTCTTCTGTAAAGAACAGTTTTTCATTCTCTACAGTGACATGTCTTTATTTAAATATGCACACATACGTGCACACATAAAAATATATAAAAATTATGATCACATACTGGTACCTCCATTACAGAGGATTCTTCCTCACCTGCCTTTGTCCTATAGCGAAAACCCTGGTGATCAGTAACATCAGTATTTAGTTTGAACCATATGAAATTGCTTTGTGTCCATGTCAAAAGTACTCTAGTATCAACAATTCTCTTCAACCAACATTTACTCATTTGCTACACCGACACCATTATCCCAAACAAACCCCTAAGTAAAATTTGTAGATCTTGCTGCCCAGTTACAACATGCTATTCAAACATTGCTTGAATAAATTCTTTTTCATTGTGTGATTATACTGTCAATTCCTACCTTTTTAATGTGATCAAAGAACACACAGCAGCATTGATTGGTGTCTAAGGAGTACTGTGATTGTGAGAAGTATGAGCGGAAAGTGAACTATGACTGGTTCTCTCCATTTTATGCAGCCTCTTTTGTTTCCTTTTTCTGCAGAGATACCTTGGGAAAATGCTTCTTCTTGCGCGTGGAAATTACACTCCGAGGAGCTACCTATAGGATCTCCTTTAGTGACACAGACCAGCTGCCCCCTCCTTTCCGAATTGACAACTTTTCTAAGGTATCAAGTGGAGTTTAGAGCCAGTTTGAAGAGGGTGGAGTATGTACTGCCCTTAAGATAATGAAATGCATTTTAAACGTGGGTTTAAAAGAAGCCATACAGGAATCTCTGTGGCTGGACAACCTATAAATCCTCACCCTTAAGAGGTGGTTTCTGCTGGTTATTTTGCTTGCTGGGCAGCCATACCCAGAAGTGACTTGTCAGTCGCCAGTGCTTATGCGACTAGATTGTTGGGTCAACATGGTGGCCCTGTGGACATTCCACATGGAGAGAGGAGCGAGTCAGACTGTCTAATGACAGTGGGAAGGGGCAGCTATACCGTTGCTCAGTTGCAGTGAGCATTTTTATAAATCTTACAAATAAAGCCAAATTGGAAACCATTAGATTCTATTTTAATTATGCCTTTGAATGACAGTGTCTTAGAATGTGACTTTCTGTAGCTAAATTCAAACATTTTTGTGCTTTTCTGTGTTTAGAGTATATCACAAGGGTGAGGGTGGCAGAGATGCCACTGAAAGGGGAGATTTGCTTCCCTTGGTACTTGCTGCAAAGCTTCTAAAAGCCCTTTGTCCAACAGGCGATTGCCTGTGTCATTTAATTGGTGGGCTTTTTATAATTTGGAAGGTGATTAGAAAGTCAAGAGGCAAGATGATGAACCTCACTTTGGTTGTGGTGTGTGTAGTAGGATTCATTTGGGAAGGATCTGGAACTTAAACCTAGGAAGTGCTAAGTCATGTTCCAATAACACCAATCTGAGTGACAGCCCTGTTCCTCTTGCCATCGCTGTAGGTCCCAGTTGTCTTTACTCAGCACGGTGTAGCTGAGCCCAGGCTCCGAACTGAAGTGAAGCCCATGACCTCCTTGGATTACGCCTGGGATGAACCCGCCCTGCCACCGTTTATCACTCTGACTGTTAAAGGGGCAGGCTCCTCTGAGATCAATTGCAACATGAATGATTTCCAGGATAACCGACAGCTTTATTATGAAAATTTCATTTACATTGCTGCTACATACACATTCTCCGGGTAATTCTGGGTTAAAGTATTATCCTTATAAAGCAGAACACTCTGATTACTAACTGGTTTTAAACTCTAAGCAGTTGTTAGGAGGCCGAAGGATAAAGGAAGATTCCTTTCATTCTTTGCCGGATCCTAGGCTCAAGATCTGTCTTGAGATCTTGAGAAGTCTTTAGTCTAAACCAGCGGTTCTCAACCTGTGGGTCGCGACCCCTTTGGGGGTCGAACGACCCTTTCACAGGGGTCGCCTAAGACCATCGGAAAACACATATATAATTACATATTGTTTTTGTGATTAATCACTATGCTTTCATTATGTTCAATTTGTAACAATGAAATTGGGGGTCACCACAACCTGAGGAACTGTGTTAAAGGGTCACGGCATTAGGAAGGTTGAGAACCATGAACTACGTGCACGTACTGTCTATGTGGAAACAATCTGGCTCGCGGCATTCTCCAGCCATGCCGCCAACACCCAGTCCGGCACCCCACCGCCGCCCCTAAATGCCTGCTGTTACTCAGCCCCCTCCCCCCTGAGCCTGGGAG